AGAACCGGCAAATACCACCTCTGACTAGCCCCACCCCCATCTATTCTCTACCTTCTGAGTCCCAACTGGTTGGCTGGGTCTTCTTTTGTTGCCCTGCACAGGAGAACGGAGCTGGAAAGCAGGTTAGTGGGGTGGGGAGCGAATGGGAATTTTGCAGTATCCTTCCCCTGGAGTGGGGTGGAAATGGGGATTTTGCATTATCTTTCCCCTGCCACGCCCACCAAGCCACACCATGCCCACCAATCCACTCCCACAGAACCGGTAGTAAAAAAAAATGAATCCCACCACTGACTGGAAGGGACTTTGGAAGTTTTCTACTCCAGAGGTCCTCAATGTTCTTGGGTTGGCAGCCCAGCACGAGATGGTGGGGAAAGAGTGGAGGGTTTTGTGTGAACTGCAGGCATGAGTAGGGCTGAGAACACAAGCGCCCACCACTCACACAAGTGGGGCTATGAGTGCAAGGACCCGCCACTTGTGTTAGTGGACCTGTGCGCACATGAACGCTCACCTGACAATTATGGGGCCTGTTTCTGAATGGGCCCAGTAGTGGGTCACGGCTCGCAAATTGGGGAGCCTTGTTTTATTCCAACGTGCTGCCCAAGGCAGGAGACCTTTTTCCACCCTGGACATATAGCTTTTCTTTCTTTTTTCTTTTTGGAACATCCTGAATCCTTCCCTGCAATTCCCAACTCCTCTACTGCTCTTTCTGAGTCGGGTAAACATTCACACAGTGGTTTTAAAGCAGAAAAGGCTAAAACAGCATGTTGATCCTCCCCAGTTAAAATCCTTAAGGGCTGCCATCAGTTCATGCAAACCAGTAACAGCTTTTTCCAGCATCACCATTATTGCAAAGCATCTATTTTTCTGATTATCTGGCTTTCACAACTATTTGGAGCAATTCAAAAGCCGTAGGTTATTAAAGTGTGTGATTCTGACCTTTAATAGTTTGTCTAGATCTGTCACAGTTCTTCTTCCAGACAGCAGTTGTCTCTTTCTCTCACGGCTAAATTTACCCACTCCTTATGAATTTTGACCATAGGAAGTTTGACCATAGTTTGTTTTTAGTTCAGTTTACCTATTGATGTGGCTCTAGTGTTGTCTATTGACATGATCTCTGTTATTTATTTTGTAATGACTGAGTAGTAGATCCGCTTTTATGCTCTGTTTTTTCACCTTCAGCAAGAGATTCCTTAGGATTTCCTCCTGTAGAAAGTTAGCACTTATCCCTCTCCTAGAAGAATGAAATATTTTGGGAAATATTTAAAAAAGCAGAATATTATATTTCCCCTAAAAGAGAAATAGAAATCTTAAAGGAAACTCAGAGCCAGAATTCCCTGCCCCCAAGGAGATACTAAGCTGAAGGGAGACCAGCTGTTAGAAATGCAGATTTGGTAATCCATTCAAGACAGGATATTTTGAACAAAGGCGGAATTAGGTAGAATGTAGGATGAGCCCTCACTCAAGATCCAAACCAAGAAACAATAGGAATATAGACACAATAGGAATGGCCCAAGCCAACACCCTTTCAGGACACAAGCCGCATTACATCATCTCAGAGAGTCCAGGCTTCAATCAAACCTAATTCAGATAACCTAAGCAGTTAGCTATGACCCCTGCAAAGCCCCTTGGAGTCTGACTGCCAATAAAATGCAGTACATGTTCTTGCCACAGGAACAGGAAGAGCAAGGGCAAGGCCCAAGGGCAAGGCCCACTCTCTCTCCACCCCATGTGGTCAGCTGCCCAGGACCTAAAACCCATGTGGTCCTGTCCATTAATAAACCATCTTTCCAAACAGCCTCCATGTTTCCAGTGTCTTTCTCCCCACTTGGAACTGAACCAGATGGATATTGCTTCCAACACTCCCTTCTAGAATGTTGCTGATGTTTCTTCTGGCAATTGTAATAATGCTTCCCATTTCTTTGAGTCTAGCATTTCTCAGGATACATCCTGCATATGAATTAAATGAACAATGTGACAAACTACAACTTTACCACAGTCCTTTCCTAATTTGGAATCATGTAGTTTAATCCAGGGGTCCCCAACCACCCGTCTGGGGACCGGTACCGGTCCATGGAACAATTTCTACCGGGCCTCCGGTTTGCTGGGCGCCGCCATCTTGTTTTGATGAAAAAGTGCTTCCGGTGAGCTTTTCCGGGTAGAAAGCGGTGTTTGGGTGCTGAAAGAATCCTCGCGCCTTAGTTTCAATGGGGCGGGGCAGCTTCGAACAAAACTAAGGCGCGAGGATTCTTTCAGCACGCATGGCAAGGCGAGCCGAGCGACCGTCCCAAAGCCATTGCGAAGCCCATTGACACAGGTACAAAGGAGGAGTTGAAGGTGGCGGGGAGAAGTGGGGGACAGCTGGCTGGCCAGTTGCTCGGCTCGCCTTGCCATGTGTGCTGATGCCGGTACCGGGCCACGGATGATTTTGTGATGCCGGTACCGGGCCACGGCACAAAAAAGGTTGGGGACCACTGGTTTAATCCATATTCCATGCTAACCCGTATCCCTGATCGTTATACAGATTATTCCATTGCTAGATAAGGTAGCCATTATGGCCATGTTTTAAATTAAATGACACATAGCTCTTGTTTTCCCCACCTAAATTTAAGAAAGTTGGCTAGGAATTTAGAGGTTACCATCTTCTGCAAACACAGCTACTGAATAGAGTAGTGAACATGACAAATGAACAAATTTTGCATGGGGTTATGGCACCATTAGATTAATAGACAGCTGGTTAAACAATCATATTCAACAAATATACATTAGTCACTCTGCATCAAGCTGTATTGAACTGTTCAGCAGTGTACCTTGGGCTCCATTCTAGCTCCTTTATTAAGTTAACATATTGATAAATGTTTTTGATGATGAAATACAAACATAAGTTTATCCAATTTGCAGTTTTGTAGATGACACAAACACCTTAGGGCAAGTATTAAATCCATGGGAATCTTGACAAGCTGGACCATTGGGCAGAATCCAGCAGTATGGATTTCAACCAGGATAAATGCATAGTCCTACATTTGAATAAGGAAAGTTGTGCACAAAATGTTATTGGGAGCAAGGCAAAGGTTGTGAATTTCTGTTTTTAAAAAAATAAAAATTAATTAGACAATTATACTAATATAGAACAGAAGAACAGCAATACTGGAACAAACCAAACAGCAATCTCATCTAGCATTCATTTCCCACAGCTTTATGGCCTTCAAGCTGTGACAAGGCGATTTGGGGGGTCTTTGAGGAAGATCAAAGGTTGGTAACCCAAAGGAGTGCAAGACAAGCTCGTGGTTTTGATTCAGGGGTACCTGAGAAGCTTGTGAAGAGAGAGATTACAGGGTAGGGCCCCCAAAAAATTAATTTTGGGGGGGTGGCATTCTGTGGCATAAGCAAGAGGATTGAGATATAATGAGAGCAGATTGAAGCAGAGAAAAAGTTGCAGCAGGCAAGTTGGGGATAAATGGAGCATAAACGAGTTTTAGCTGGTGGGCTGGAGAAGAAAGGTTCAATAGATCAGTCTTGAAGTATTTCTTCCTGTTCAAAGAGAGAAAATTGGCAAGGCTGTTGGGGAAAATGGTTTCTGTGGACTTTACAAACATGGCAGGAGTGTCATCCTCTTTGTATTGAAAGAACAATTCATGCTTTCAAGTCAGCTCAGTGTTAATCTGAGTGGCAGAGTGTCCCACATGGAACAGTATAAACAATCTTAATTATTTAGTGTGTTTTTCTTTTTCTTCTTTCATTAAGCAAACACAGTTTATTTTCTTCAGGTTGGGTTTTGCCACATTAATAATTTGGTTAATTAGAAAGTGCTGTTGTCAGAGATGTTCCCCTGCCTGATGTTCAAATTAAATTCACGTAAGATCATTGAAACTGAAAAAAGAAAACCTGAGGTGATGGTAATAGTGGAGAAACAATGCAACACCATGGAAAAAAAAAGAAGTTGACTGTCATGGAAGCAGGAGAATGCACTGGACGAAAATTAGCACCAACTTCATTCTCTTCGAAATCATCTAGAGACCAATAAAATCAGTATCCCCTTGTGGGAAACTTGCAAAATTACACTACTGCTTCTTTATATACAGAATATAGAGGGCACTACCACAGCAAACTACTCTGCAGCTGTCAGGTGATAGAAAAGGACCAATAAGATTTTTCTTGGCTCTATAAAGAGGGGGCGCATGCGTCTTTGTGTTTCAAGTTCTTGATAGCTAAAAGAAAGTCCAGAAGTGTCCATGTGAGTGAGAGGGAAGCCAAGATGATGGGTGCATCTTTGCAACAGAAATCCTATCCTTTGGGATGTGTATTTAGATCAATTTATCAGCTTGTTTGAGTCCCTGGAATGGGTGACGAATACAGCTAGTCCATCACTTATGATTACAATTGAGCCAAAATTTTCAGTTTAACAGATTTAACAGATAATCAGAGTTGGAAGGGACCTTGCAGGTCATCTAGTCCAACTCCCCACCCAAGCAGGAGACTCTACACCATTTCTGACAAATGGCAGTCCAATCTCTTCTTGAAAGTCTCAAGTGATGGCGCTCCCACAACTTCTGAGGGTAAGCTGTTCCGTGGGTTGTGTTCTGTATGGACATTAGCATTCTTGGAATTCTGCAACCCTGATTGGACAAGCGCACAGCAACCGGATTGGTCGAGCGCGCAGCACTGATTGGCCGTTCTGAAGCGACGATCGCGGGCGATTCGAACGGCTGTCATTGGCCACGGTGCCTAGCACCAGTTCAATATAAGCCGCTGCATACCCAACCGGCGGCAGATTTTAAAACCTGAATAAAAAGAGCTAAAACCAGTCACTGCCTCGCGTCTTTTGTGATCGTATCGGCCGATACGACAGGTTGATTGTTCTCACTGTCAGAAAGTTTCTCCTTATTTTCAGGTTAAATCTCTCCTTGTTCAGTTTCCATCCATTATTCCTTGTCTGGCTTTCAGGTGCTTGGGGAAACAGCTTGACCCCTTCCTCCCTGTGGCAGCCCCTCAAATATTGGAAGACTGCTATCATGTCTCCCCTGGTCCTTCTCTTTACTAGACTAGCCAAGTCCAGTTCCTGCAACCATTCGTTGTATGTTTTAGCCTCCAGTCCCCTAATCATCCTGGTTGCTCTTCTCTGTACTTTTTCTAGAGTCTCAACATCTTTTTTGTAATGTGGTGACCAAAACTGGATGCAGTACTCTAGGTGTGGTCTTACTCAGGCTTTATAGGGTGGTATTAGTACCCCACTTGATCTTGACTGTATCCCTCTGTTAATGCAATTTAGGACTGCATTAGCTTTTTTGGTTGCTGCTGCACACTGCTGGTTCATATTTAGCTGGTTGTCCACTAAGACTCCAAGATCCCCCTCACAGTTACTGCTATTGAGCCTGGTTTCACCCAGTCTATATGTGCACTTTTAGTTTTTCTTGCCTAAGTGTAGGACTTTACTTTTCTCTACATTGGATTTAATTTTGTTAGATACGGCCCAGTGCTCTTTTGAAGATGGGAACCACATCAGCTCTTTTCCAGTCCTCTGGTAGTTTCCCAGTGTTCCAGGATTTTTGAAAGATATGGTGCAGTGGTTCTGAGATGACCTCTGTCAGCTCCTTTAAAACTCTGGGATGTAATCCATCAGGCCCTGGTGATTCGTTTTCATCAGGATCAGACAGGTGTTCTCTTACTATTTTTTTTTTTTTGCTTATTTTAACTTTTATTTCTGTTCTGTCTTTTACAGTTATGATTTTGGTGGGTTGGGCTATAGTTTCTTTTTGCGTGAAGACGGATGCAAAGAAGCAGTTCTGCTTTCTCTCTGTTGCCTGTTACTTCCTTGCTGTCTTTCTCTCTTTAGTGGACCAACTGTTTCCTTGATTTTTTTCTTGTTATTTATATGTTGGAAGAAACTTTTTTTATTATCTTTGACTTTTGTTGCAAGTCTTTGTTCGTTCTGAGCCTTTGCTATCCTGACTTTGTCTTTGCAGATACTGGCTTTCTGCTGATATTCTGCCTTAGTTGAATGTCCTTCTTTCCATTTTTGTACTTGCCCTTTTTTTCTTTCAATTTGCCAGAGGGATCTTTGTGCAGCCATGCTGGTTTCTTCTTGGATTTCTTGTTTTTTCCCCTCAGTGGTATTGTGCTGGTCTGGGCTTCTATGATCATACTTTTAAGAGTTTCCCAAGATTCTTGAATTGTTTTCCCCTTTAGGATTTTCATCCATGGAATCTTTCCCAAGTTCTCTCTGAGTTTATTGAAATCAGCTCTTTTAAAATCCAAGACTCTGGTGTCATTATGTTCTGTTGCTTGTGATTGTGTTATGTTAACTTCTAGTATGACATGGTCACTCTCATTCAAGGTTCCTGCAGTTTCAACTCCCTCTTTCACTTCTTCTCTGTTTGTAAGAATTAAGTCCAGTATGGCTGTCCCTCTAGTTTCACCCTTTACCTTTTGGACAACAAAGTTGTCAGCTAGGTTGGTTAGGAACTTATTTGATTTCTCACCTGGTGCAGAATTAGTTTTCCAATTGATATCAGAATAATTGAAGTCTTCCATTACTATTGTTGTGTGTTTCCTGCATATGTTTGTTATTTGGCTGGCAAAAAGGACATCTATTTTTTCTGCTCGATTGGGTGGCCTATAATATACATCTATGGCCATTCCATATGTTAAGTTTGAGCAATGAGAGGCTGAACCAGAGCATGAGTGCAACA